TCCCCTCCACACTTGAGCAGGCAGGGAGGCCAACACTGTAGCCACACCCTCCACAGAACCCCTACCCTAAAGGCCCATAGTGCTGCCAAGGATGGCAGTGTGCCCTGGCACCCGGCTCCCACCAGCCACGCTGGCCCCGGGAAGCCAGAATGTGTGATGCATGGCAGGCAGCACTTCGTGTCAACTCCCCAGATGTGGGCTCTGTCACCCTCTCTCAGTACTGGGTCCTCCTCTGCATGGAAAGATGATGAGGAATTTCCCCTTTGCCCTCAAGATTTTTTCTGAAATGGTTTTAATAAGTACATATAATTTTACAATGAAACCCAATAAATCAATTTTGAAAAAACAGTATCTGAGGTCCCAGCCCCCTTCCTCTCCCCCAGAGAAGCCCCTGCTTCCCCTGCCACCAGCCTGGATTTTCTCAGAACCACAAGCTTCCCCGATCTAGCACTGTAGCTGTCCTTGGCAGTCCTTTCTGCTGTCTGACCAATGTAGGTCATGCTGCAGTCTCTGAGGTAGAGCAGCAGCCTTCCCACATCCTCAGAGCTGGGGGATCTTACCCCGGGGGGTCCCACTGTGAGCTGGCCCTGAGAGGGTCCCTGTCCCCCCAAACTCTTAGCAGCTCTATCTCCAAAAAGCCAGAAATCTTAGACACTCACCAAGAATGGGCTGCTGCTGGTCTCAGGTAACCAGATCAGGGCCAAGTGCTGCCCCCTCTAAGGGCTCCCAGCAGCCTAGTCTCTCACAGTGGCCAGCACTGAGAAGGGAGGGGGCAGAGAACAAAGGCTAGAGCAGGGCAGGGCTGCATTTCACCACCTGCCACTGGGCTGAGTCTGGCCTCTGTCCCGAACTCCCTCTGTGACCCCAGGTGAGTCCCTGTCTTGTCTGAACCTCAGTTTCCCATTTGTAAAGTGGGAAGGACATCTGTCTCACAGTCTCCAATTAGTCGATTAACAGAGAGGCTTTAGGCCGGGCGCGGTGGCTCAAGCCTGTAATCCCAGCACTTTGGGAGGCCGAGACGGGCGGATCACGAGGTCAGGAGATCGAGACCATCCTGGCTAACACAGTGAAACCCCGTCTCTACTAAAAAATACAAAAAACTAGCCGGGCGAGGTGGCGGGTGCCTGTAGTCCCAGCTACTCGGGAGGCTGAGGCAGGAGAATGGCGTAAATCCGGGAGGTGGAGCTTGCAGTGAGCTGAGATCTGGCCACTGCACTCCAGCCTGGGCCACAGAGTGAGACTCCGCCTCAAAAAAAAAAAACAGAGAGGCTTTATCCCTGCCCAGTGCCTCAGGCTGTGAAGGGACACTGGGTCCTCTTTTTGTGCAGTCTAAACCCCTGGACATGCTGAAGAGGCGACTCACCTTGACCCCTTTCTCTCACTCCAGCCTGGAACCCTGGCACCCACACCTCAGAGGTGGCCCTGGGCATCCATGGCCAGCCACAGAGCTGACACCACCCTGTTCGGTGCTCGAGCCGCAGCCTGTGGTGGGAATGGCTCTGGGAACCGTGGCAGGTGGCAGGCAGCAAGTTGCACTGGTTCCTGCCTCCAGTCCTGCTAAAAAGAAGCAGAATCTGCCACCCTTCCTGCCCTTGGGCTGCAGTAAGTTCTTCCAGCAGATTCCCAGGAGGTCCCAGGCTGGGGTGTGCATGAGACCTCTCTGCTCACCTCTGTCTGCCAGGCCTGGTCCCAGCTTCCCAGCCTGGGGTTAGCCAAGGATGGGGGTGCCTTGGTCAGGAGTGGCTGCCAGGGCTGCCAAGCCCCGCTCAGGGGTTCATTGTAGAGGCTGCACGGTCTCAAGGTCAGCTCAGGACAACCCTCCAGGCCAGAGACCATGGCTGCAGGAAAGGGAGGGGCTCTCTAAGGGAGGACCCCCGTAGGCCACTATTGCTGTCACTGTGGCTGAGGAATGCCACCTGGACGTCAGCCAGACAGGGGAAGCAGAACATGCCCAGGCCTGGTCCTCAGACCTGGGTTGGAATCTTGGCTCTCCCACTGTGATCTGGGGCCAGGCTGCCCCCCGGGCCATCCGTGTCCTCCCCTACAAAACGGTGTCTCACCACCTCCTGTCCAGGCAGTCCCAAAGATTTGAGGAGGGGCTCTCCATGAAAACATATCAGTATCTAATAGAATATCCAAGCATATACAAAGGTGGAGAGGATAATTTAACAAATCCGCACACACCTAGTACCTGTCACCAAGCTTCAACCAATATTAACAACCAGTGTCAACTCATGGCCATACCATGACTATGCCCACACCCTCTCCTTTAACCTCTGGATTTTATTTTATGCTTTTATTTTTATTTTTTGAGACAAGGTCACGTTCTGTGGCCCAAGCTGGAGTGCAGTGATGTAATCATGGTTCACACCAGCCTCGACCTCCTGGGCTCAAACCATCCTCCCACCCCAGCCTCCCAGGTAGCTGGGACCACAGATGCATGTCACCAGACCTGGTTAATTTTTTTATTTTTTATTTTTGTAGACAGAGGGCCTCACTGTGTTGCCCAGGCTGGTCTCAAACTCCTCCCACCTCAGCGTCCCAAAGTGCTGGGATTACAGGCATGACCCACTGTGTCTGGCCACCTCTGGGTTATTTTAAAAACAAAGCTTCAGCATTACTCAGTATACCCAGGTAATAAACCTGCACATGTACTCCCTGAATCTAAAATAAAAGTTGAAAAAGAAAAAAGAAAAAGAATAAAAACAAAGCCGAGACATCATATGATCTCACCTTTAAATACTTCGTAATGAATTTCTTAAAGATAAAGGCCTAGAAAAACCATAACTGCAATACCATTATTACACTTTAAAAAGCTAGCCATAATCCCTTAGTATCATCAAATGTCTGATCAGAATTCACATTTCCCCCAGTTGCTCATAAATGCTTTTTACAGTCAGTTTGGATTTGAATCAAAGGTCAACACATCATTTGGTTGATAAATGTCTAAATTTCTTGAAATCTAGAGATTGCCCATCTTTTCTTGTAATTTTGTTGCTGTTGAAGAAGAAACTGGGTTGTCTGTTCTGTAGAATTTCCCAATCTGGATATTTGTCATTGTTTCCCTTGTATTTCCTGTAAACTAATTGTTGAATCCAAGGAATCAGATTCAAGTTTGGTGTTTTGACAAAAACAATGACTAGTTGGGGTTCACATGTCTGCAGGAGGGTCTGTCTCCTGAGTTGAGCAGCAAGTTCAGGTGCAGTCAATCTGATACATTTATTAACGAGCTCCCATCAGGTAAAAGCTCAAACTAAAAAACTCTTAGACAAGGCTGGGCACGGTGGCTTGTGTCTGTAATCCCAGCACTTTGGGAGGACAAGGTGGGTGGATCACTTGAGGTCAGGAGTTCAAGGCCAGCCTGGCCAATATGGTGAAACCCCGTCTCTACCACAAATACAAAAAATTAGCCAGGCATGGTGGCAAGCGCCTGTAATCCCAGTTACTTGGGAGGATGAGGCAGGAGAATTGCTTGAACCCAAGAGGTGGAGGTTGTAGTGAGCTGAGACCGTGCCACTGCATTCTAGCTCGTGCAGTAAAGTGAGACTCCATCTCAAAAAACAAAATAAAAAAACCTCTTAGACAAAAACATAGACTGGTGTGAGCAGTGGGCAGAGGCCAGACATCTGTCTCACAGTCTCCAATGAGCTGATTGACAGAGAGGCTAACAATAGAATATTATCTAGGCTTAATTGGAGGCACAGGGGAGTGGTGGATTTATTTATTTATTTATTTATTTATTTATTTATTTATTTATTTTTGAGACTGAGTCTTGCTCTTGTTGTCCAGGCTGGAGTGCAGTGGCACGATCTCGGCTCACTGCAACCTCCGCCTCCTGGGTTCAAGCGGTTCTCCTGCCTCAGCCTCCCCAGTAGCTGGGATTACAGGCGCCCGCCACCATGCCCCAGCTAATTTGTGTATTTTTAGTAGAGATGGGGTTTTGCCATGTTGGCCAGGCTGGTCTTGAATTCCTGACCTCGTGATCCGCCTGCCTCAGCCTCCCAAAGTGCTGGGATCACAGCTGTGAGCCACCGCGCCGGGCCCGGAGTGGTGGATTTAGATTTGGGAAAGATGGCTCTGGGTGCTGAAGGATGTGTTGGAGAGCGAAGCCAGATGCAGAGAGCTGAATGCTAGCAGGTTCCATTTATATGGCTTTCTGGAAGGGGCAGAACTAGGACAGAAAGGTTTCAGGTTGGGGAGGAGGGAGCAGGGTTGGAAGCAGGGGACACAGGGACTTGTGGGGGGGCAATGGGGCCGTTCTGTGTCTTGATGGTGGGGCTGGATGCATAACTGTGTACATGCTGGGGCCAACTGTCCCACCAGCTAGTCCAGGACCAGCGGAGGACAAGCATGCTGTTGGACTCATCTGCAACTCCCAGGCCCTGTTAGTTACCCCTCTAGGCTTAGACTGTCAGAAAATCTCTCTGGGATGATGGTCTCTTGTCCATTCACTTACTTAATTAGCAATGACTGGGTGCCCACTATGTGTCAGGCTGCATGGTGGGCACTGGAGACTCAGATAACCATGACCACTCCTGCCCTTGAGGAACATCCAGGCAGGCAGGGACATGGCCTCGATCCATTTGACACTTTCACCAAGGCCTCCACAGGTGCCCACCTCTCTGGGTCTCCCCCCCATGCCTTTTTTTTTTTTTTCCAGACAGGGTCTCACTCTGTCACCCAGGCTGAGTACAGCGGTGCAATCTCAGTTCACTGCAGCCTTGATATCCCAGGCTCAAGGGACAAGGGATCCTCCCACCTCAGCCTCCTGAGTAGCTGGGACTACAGGTGCCCACCACCATGCCCAGCTCATTTTTTAATTTTTTGTTGGGATTAGGGTCTTGCCATGTTGCCCAGGCTGGTCTCAAACTCCTGGACTCAAGTGATCCTCCTACCTTGGCCTCCCAAAGTGCTGGGATTATAGGCGTGAGCCACCACGCCCAGCTCTGGTTCCCTTCTTGACTTCAGCCAGCCAGGCCTTGCTAGACAGAACTCATAGGTATATCAAAAAATAATCTTTATTGTCACTAGTATAAAACAGAGCAGATCAACTGGCCTCTCAGTCTGTACAGAGTGTGGGGCATGAGACTGCCTGGGCTGCCCCCAATTCTCCCATAATGCCCTGCCCTAGAGCAGCAACTCCGGAGCTAGGAGAAGGGGAGGGGCCACCCCAGGCCTTCCCTTGAGGAGCGGGGTCAGGAGTGAACTGGAGCAGGGGCTGGTTTCTACCTGAGGGAGGCAAAGAAGCAGAGGAGAAAACTGGAGTGGGGGAACCCTTCCGCTCCTCATCCCATTCCCCGCTGCCACGTCCCAGAGTCCACTGGATGGGTGGAGAGGCGGCGGGCAGCCTGAAGGCGGGCTGAGGCATGAGCCAGTCCATGGCCTGGTCAGAGGGCCACCCGCGTGCAGCAGTGGCGCAGCAAGCATGGCAGGATGCCGCGGTTCAGCTGGTGGAATTCCACGAGCTGCAGCAGGTCAGTGAAGCGGGTCTGGCCATCATCCATGCTGAAGTACAGGCGGCCCTCCTCCTCGCTCTGGGGTACAGTAGGCGGGGGGAAGGTCAGGGAGGGGCCCGAGGCTTAGGGGCCCCACCCATTTCCTTTTCTTCTTTTTTCTTTTCTTTTCTTTCTTTTCTTTTTTCTTTTCTTTTTTTTTTTTTTTTTTTTTGAGACAGGGTTTTCTCACTCTGTCATCCAGGCTGGAGTGTGGTGGTGCCACCATGGCTCACTGCAGCCTTAACCCTCTGGGCTCAAGCAATGCTCCCACCTCAGCCTCCTGAGTAGCTGGGACTACAGGTGTGCACCACCATGCCTGGCTCATTTTTAAATTATCTGTAGAGATGGGGTCTCCCTGTGTTGCCCAGGCTGGTCTCAAACTCCTGGGCTCAAACCATTCTCCCACCTTGGCCTTCCCAAGAGCTGGGATTACAGGTGTGAGCCACCGCACTCAGCCTCCCACTTCTTGGGCAGGGAAAAGGAAGACGCACTAGGGGCCAGGGCGCCTCTGGCGGGGCCTGGTGAGGAGGACAGGCTGCTGGGAGTCCTGTGTCTCATTGCAGGCCTCCGGGGACGCAGGGAAGCTCACCGGCAGGATGAGATAATGCTTCACTTTCTGCAGGTGGCACAAAGAGAGGACAAAGCCCTGGGGGTTCCGCTGACTCTCCCGGACCAGGAACAGGCTGCCAGAAGACAGGAGATATGGCAGCATTACCCGAGGACCCATGGCTGCCACCTGGACCCCGGTCTCTCTTATCCCTGGGTCTGTTGCCCGGCCCTGCCCCTTACCCGTCTACCAAGCCCTGCTGTCCAATAAGCCGCTGGCTCTCCTCACGGGAAATGCGCCCGTGGAACCAGAGTTGGGTGCGGTGGATGGCTGCGGTGGGGAAGGACATGGGCAGTCACTTTGGGGAGGGGACCCCTATACCATCTGCTCCCCACTGAGAATGCAAAGAGAAGTCGAGGCAGCCCCTGCCCCAGGACTCAGGGCCATCACGCACCTGCACTGAGGCTCGTGCCGGAGGCCGGCGTAGGCAGGCTGAGGCGGTGGTTTGTCTTCTTCTGTGGAGCAGTGGGAGATATGGAAGAGTCGGGGTGTGCTTGTGGGCATTACCCAGCACCTCAGGAAGGTAGAGCACTTCTCCCCAGCCAGGGGGCCTCCCCCTGCCCCTCTTCCTCCCTCCTATTTCAGGGATCCCACCCAGAGAGTGGGTCCCCAGCACAAACACACAGGCAGCAGGCCTCACCCTCCAGGCGTGGGCCTCCTCCAGGGCCACACTCAGAGCCTCCCGGGGGTTCTCGATGACGCGCCCAGCATGGCCAGAGAAGTCCATGGCCACCAGAGTATTATCTGAGACACTTCTCTGGAGATGGAAGGAGAGGGGAAAGATCAGAACAGGGCCCAGGTACCCCTAAGACAGGGCCTGCATGCCCACCCTTCCATCCCCTTGTGCACACTCACCAAGGGTGGGGAACCCAAACAAGGCGGACGCAGATGGCGAGACTGTGCCTGCTGGTAATTCCTGTACAGCTGCACCCCATACTGGGGGTGGGGAGAGAAAGAGCGCTTGAGGTCGAGAGGTCCTGGGGGCGTGGCTGTGACCCCCCTTCAAACCAGGACTTGCCCAGACTAGGGCTGTGTTTCTGCCTTCAATGGGCGCTTCCTGTAACTTCAGGCTTGGACTGAGCGTTATCAGAGAGCAAGGCTGTGATGCCCTCCTCATTCCTGAGACTTCCTGGGGGCAGAGCTGGGAATCCCTCTGGCCAGGTCAGCCCCCCATGCCACTCCCAGGGTCTCACCTTAAAGAGGCGGAAGGCAGCCAGCCAGCAGGTGCGGCTCTGCTCATCTTCACTGCAGAAGATCCGAAGCCCCTTGTGGCCATTTCGAAGCTTGTTGGGCTGCGGAGAGAGGAAACTGGCTGGTCCCGTATCTGCCTTTGGGACCACATGTCTGTCCCTGCTCCACAGAGCAGAGCAGGATCCAGGGAGTTTCCAGCAGGCCAGGGTGCAGGGAGAGGAGTCTGGGCATCTGAATTGGGACTCAGAAGCCCTAGGCAGGATCCAGGGTCCTGAGCAGTTCCTGCTTCCCCAGGCCAGGGGCCAAGCCTGGCCAGGTCTTCACCTTGACACAGAAGCCGAAGTCAGTGGGCATCCCGTAGAGCTTGCGGCCTTGCGTCACCACGTACACGTTGGACTCGTTCACATCTGCCACGTACTGCAGGTGCCTCGGATCCTGAGCAGCACGAGTGAGCAGGACTTGGTACAGGTGGACCCCGCCCGCTATTACCTCCCCCGACAAGCCAGGTGGGGAGATTTCAGGACCAGAGAGGGGCAGGGGAGTACCCAGGGTCACATAGCAAATAGAAGTAGAGCCAGGACTTAAACTCAGGTCATCTTTTCTCCTGCTACCTCCCTGGGCAGGTAAGCTGGGCAAGGATGTAGGGAGAGATGGTAAACTGGAGGTGGTTGGCCTGGGGGGCACGGGGGGAGAAGGGCTCAGGGGTTCCAGCAGAGAAGGGGCAACTTCTAAAAGGACCAGGGACTGCAGAGGCTGGAGCTGGCACTCTCAAGACCTCACCTTAGAGGTGCCCTTGGTGGAGTAATAGAGGCCAGATCGGCGCAAGAAGCAGAAAAAGCGTTTCCAAAGCTTCCGTCCTGAACCCCGCAGCTGCAGAAAGCCCTGGATCTCAGGGAAGCTGCCAGCATTCAGGAAGTTCTGAGCCAGAGAAGAGGAGAAGAGAGTGGGAGGTCTGACCTCCTCCCTTCCCCTGTACCACCAGGATGTTTTCTTTTTCTTTTTGAGATGGGGTCTTATGCTAGTGCGGTGGCACGATCACAGCTCACTGCAACCTCGACCTCCTGAGCTCAAGTGATCCTCCCACCTCAGCCTCCCAAGCACCTGAGACCAGGCTCATGCCACCATTCCTGGCCTTTTCCTTTTTTTTTTTTTTTTTTTGGAGAGACAAGGTCTCACTATGTTGCCCAGGGTGGTCTCAAACTTCTGGGCTCAAGTAATCCTCCTGCCTCAACCTCCCAAAGTGCTGGGATTATAGGCATGAGCCACCACACCCAGCCCACCCTCAGGTTTTTACAAGGAAATGCTCCACATGCATTTCTCGCCCCCATTTAACAGAAGAAACTGATGCTCAGGCAGGGAAAGTGACTTGTCCCCAGTCACACAGGACTGTGGTTTGGCTCTTTCTACCACATAGAGGGGAGGCACAGGACCTAAGGGCGGAGAAGCACTGGTCAGTTCTGGGGAGTCGTGAAATGGGGGGTCTCCCCACCTGGATGAGGTCTTCATGGGATATACCAGTGTGTGCATCGAGACAGCTGGAGACCATTTTTTCTGGGAAGAGGGAGTGCTGAGGGTAGAAAAGTGTCAGGGGTCAGGGCTCCAGTGTCCGGTTCAGGCTCAGGGCATGCCAGCGCCCAGACAGCCCTCACACACTCACTGGGGAGCTCTTGAACAGTTCGTACTTGGCGAAGTTTTTCCGGAAGACGAAGCGGCTATCTCCGCCCACGGGCCAGGCAGCCTGCACTTCCACCACGGACTCGTGGTCCTCCAAACCCCGCTCTGGGGTCAAGGGCAAAAAGCAGGGGTTATTGGAGATCAACTAGATCTCCCAGATGAGTCACATGCCTAGCCCAAGATGCGAGACATCACCTCCCGGCCTGGGTAGTTCCATTCACCCGACTTACCCAGTGCTAGGTGGGGGTGGCACTCCACCAGCCCCCAGGTCTCGTCACTCAAAGCGTGAGCTCGCTGCACCAGCATTTCACACACATGGCGAGCTGTGGCACCTGCCGCCACCTCCACAGACCTGCAGGCCCCGTCCTCACTGTACACCTTTACTACCTGTGCCCCAGGAATTGCAGATGACTTGAGGGGAGGCAAAGGGTGATTCCTTCCCTTTCCGCACCTGCTAGACCCTCAGGGACTCCTAACCAAGATCCCCCGCCTCCATGGAAATGGCTGTATATCTCCCACAGATCCAGAACCCCTGCATCCCTCCCTTCCCTTCTGAGGGACAACTCACATGGGGGCGGCTGGCATCGCGGGGAAGCAGCCCCCTTGCACTGGAGGGGCCCCCAAGAATGGGGCTCTGTGAGGGAGGACTGCAGAGCTCAGGGAAGGGGTTGGGGATGGAGGGGAGGGAGGTGGCACGCCGCTCCTCCTCTCGAAGTTTCCTGTGGCAAGAAGAAAAAGGGAGAGAGGTGTGGGGAAAGGAGCAGTGGCCTGCAAGCCTCTGTGTATTATCCAGCACTGACCTCCCCCAAGCCCCACATCCCATCGTACCTGCCAGTGGTTGGGATGAGGAGAGGCTGGGACCTCTTTACCTCCTCAGGCAGAGGGGTATCAGGGGGCCGGGGAGTCCCAGGAGGGGTCCCGGGGGCTGGGCAAAGGTCTTCCGGAGAGCTGCCAAGATGAGGTGGAGACAGATCCAGCTCCATGGCATCTGAGGGAGAGAGGGGCTGAATGGAACCAGTTGTGTCAGTTGTGTGCCCTTGTCCTGGGGAGAGGGGACTAGAGAAATCAGACCTCCTGACCTCACACGGTGGTTAGGGTGCCCCTCAGAGTTTACCTAGCACCTCACTGCTCTAACTGGAGTTCCCCTGAAGCCCTTGGGGAAGGACAGAATGAGCCTCATTTTATAAAAGGGGACACTGAGTCTCTGAGAAGGAAGCATTCTTACCCTCAGTCACAGGTGAGTCGGGGAGTAGAACCTGGTGCCCTGAGTCACAGGTGAGTCAGGAGTAGAACCTGGTGTTTAGACTCCAAGTCCAGTGCTCTTTCTGGTTTTTTTTTTTTTTTCACTGCAACCTTTGCCTCCTGGGTTCAAGCGATTCTCTTGCCATAACCTCCCGAGTAACTGGGATTATAGGCGCACGCCACCATGCCCAGCTAATTTTTGTATTTTTAGTAGAGATAGGGTTTCACCACGTTGGCCAGGCTGGTCTCGAACTCCTGATCCCTCCACCTTGGCCTCCCAAAGTGCTGGGATTACAGGCGTGAGCCACTGCGCCCAGCTCCAGTGCTCTTTCTTTAGCACAAAGTTGCTCACAGGAAGAGCTGAGGGTCCACCCACCACAAGCCTGGTGGTCACAACAGATTTCACAACCCACACACTCTCAGGCTCAGCCCTCAGGGTCAGGGCAAAGGTCCACTCCTTTGCTTCCACGCGTGGGGCACTCACTGCTCCGGGCTCTGCCCGGGTTTTTCCAGCACTGTGTTGCCAGACCCAGTTGCCAGAGCCTGTTCGTACTTGGTGAAATTTGGCCTGCCCAAGTGATGAGTGATGCAGAGGGGAGAAGGAGGTGGGGAAGATGGGAGCCAGAAAGGCAGGAGAGCCAGCTCCGCTTCAGTGCAAGGGGGAGAGCGGGCCTGGGGTAGGCGTCCTGGCCCCAGCAGCCCCTAAACCTTGCGTACCCTCCCCAGGCCATCCTCCTGCCCAACTCTTTCCTGAGGCTCCAATGCTAGAGCCACTTCCTCTGAGAAGCCTTCCTGGCTTTCCACATTCTGAGTGAACGACTCCCTCTCAGCACTGTGCAGGGGCTACATCGTCCATTACTGCGCACCTGTCCTATCCACTCATTTGTCCAAGGGCACCCGGTACCCCCAGGCAAGGCCAATCTCACCCATGTCTTATCACTTACAGGGGCTGCACAGACACTCAGGACAAGTAAAGACAGGAGGGCCGGCAAAGGAGAGCACTAGAGGTGGAGGTGGGGCTGGCCCCTCCTCCTCAGGAACCAGGCAGACCCCTTTGGCTGGACTGAGACCTGGGAGAACCTGCAATCCCAGCCCCCAGCCTGTTCTCCGAACACTGGGCCAGTACTATGAGGCCACCTGGGGCACCTGGGATTGACCCCTCAGGAGGGCGCAGGCACCTGACCCCTCAGTGAGGGCATCAGGGGATTTGGGGGACAGGTGAGTCAGGGCAGGCGGGACAACACTGCCTAGGGCTCTCCATTCAACCTTGACTCATCCACACAACTTCCTGGCTTAGGAGAAACAAAAACAGCCCTGCCTCTACCCTCCCCCCAACTCCCCAACCCAATGGTAGCCACAGCCGAATGGGGGAGGCATGGGGCTGGGAACAGGATGGGGGAGGAAGATGTGGGGCCTGAGGCTCCTCTGACATCACCTCCTCCTCCCCACCCTCGGCCTAGCTCCAGGCCAGGTGGGACCTGTGATCTGCTCTCACCCCCAGTGCCAAACCACCGCCTTGCCAGGGAGTCCCTCACCTGGGAAAGAGAGAGGCAATGCCCGGCCTGGATTCAGAGGCCCATTTGGAGAGAAGCCAGCGTCCCAGCGGTGCCCCTCCCCACCCAAAGCATCGCTCAGAGTCCCCGCCGCTCAGAGTCCCCACCCCGTGTGGATGAGGTTCCTCCCGACACATTCTCCTGGGTGTCCCGGCCAGAGGGGTACCACAGGAGCAGGAGCAGAAAGGGAAAACACTGAAGAAGACAGACAGACAGGATGAAAGGCCAGGGAGGCGGCCCAGGGTCCTGCCAGGAGGGGCAAGATACACCCGCCACCCGCTAGCAAGAGACACCAGCACCTCAATATCAGAACACAATCCCCCACTCCCACCCCAGTCTACCCTCCAAACAGCCCCGGTCTCCAAACAGCCCTGGTGACTTCATTCCAGGTTGCAGGGGGCCAACAGTGGGGTGGGGAGAGGAGCAGAGAATTCAGGAGGGCAGCGCTTGGAAGCGGTTAGAAGTGGATTTGAATCACATTACAGCCTGGCCTCAGAGATCAGAGAGGGCCAGCCCAAGGCTGGGGTTTGCCTTCAGATCCCGCCACCCGGGCCCTTCAGCCCCTTCTAAGGGTGGAGGCGGGTGGAATCCTCAAGACCAAAGGAGTGAGCAGGGAGGAGGAAAGGGGTCCTGGCTGTAGGCCTGGCAGCTTAGAGATCTGGAGTTTTGAAACTGAGGCACTGGGAAAGTTTCAGTTGGAAAAACCGACCCCCAAAATCAGTTTGTCCCCTTAACGAGGTAACTCCGGCGGTGTCTTCCCAGCTGCCTCCTCCCCCAGTGGCTCCAGCCCCACCCGCGTTCCCGTCCTCCCAACCTCCTTGTTTACTTCCTGAATCACGCCCCACCTGGCTGGCCCTAAGGGCGGGTGGCGGGGCCCGGTGTTCAGGGCCAACAGAAAACAACTCTACTTCCCAGAGTAGGGGGAAGGGCTTGCGGGACTGAGGCCTGGGCCAGGGGCCTGGATGTGGCGGGAGCGCCCCTGTCCGCCCAGTACTCCACGCCCCGCCCCCACGGGACAGGCTTATAACCTTTTAGGGTGCAGGGCCCAGGTGAGAAGGTGAGAAACCCCTGGATGACTCCTAGTAGAAGGGAGGACCCAGGACTCTGAGGCCCCGCCCACTGTCACTCAGGAAAAATACCCAATGGGAGAAGGCGGGGCAGCTCTTCTAAAGTTTAATTCGGGAAGAATGCTGGAGTGTCTGTGCGGTTAATCATTACAGGCTGCCTGCTTCCATGAGGTCCCCCCACCCCGCACACAGCAGGATATCAGGAGAGAGCAGAGTCCAAGACCCGCGGACCAAAAGGGAGCATTCCTGGTGGGCAGTGAGGCTGGAGCGGGGCGGCGAGGGGGGGTTCCACCTTGCCGGCAGGTGCATTCTCTGTCCTCAATCTGCCAGGGAGACCCAGACCGGGTACCTGGGTCTCTCCTTAGCCTCATCAAGCAGAGGAAACCGTCTGCCATCCCCCACCCCACTCTCCCCAGGCCCCACCGCACTGCAGAGCCCCTCACCCACCCCTCTAGCCTTCCTGGCCACTTCATGCTGAAGCCAGGAGGGACCCCGGCTCACCCGGCCTCCACTTTCCCACCCGAGGGCCGGAGGCGGTGTTGCTGAGCAGGGCATACAGTCTGGAGAGATGGAGCCTCAACAATTTCGAGGATCCCGCTCCTTCACTGTCCTCCAAAGTGGAGGGGGCCCTCCCCTCATCTCCCCGCAGCCCGCGGAGACGTCTGTCTTAGAGACTTGGGGAAACCCAAACTGGGGTAAACTGGGCGAGTCAGGGAGTGAGGGCGGCTCTCCCAGGGTGTGCGGGGAGGGGCCAGTTTCAGCGGGAAAGCCAAGTCGGAGGAGAGAATCAGGTCTTCCTTCCCATTCTCGCGGCTGGCTTCGGGGAGGTGTACCGGGAGGGAACAAGGAGGGCTGGAAACCAGGATGGGGACGAAAGAGGGCGGGCGGGGAGGAGGGGGCGGGGTGGGAGATGGGCGGAAAAGAGAAAAGTGGGAGGCCGAGCAACCCAGGAGGAGACCCAGCCTTTCCCTACCGGCCCCCAGACCGGCCGTGCCTGCCCCCAAAGGATGAATGCCCGCTTGGGTTCTTACCTGAACCCCAAACATCAGGACACCCGGCTGGGACCACGTCTTCAGGGAGGGAGACGCCAGGTCCTTAAGTACCTGTCCCCCTCCAGCCCCCGCCCCGGGCCTGACATCACCGAGCGGGGGAGGGGGAGAGCCAGGTGGCTCCAATCCACCCACCTGGGCCGCCGGCCAGTTCGGCCGGAGACTGGCACAGCCTGGGGCCCTGGTGCGGCTGGGGGTTGCCTGGCAGGCTGTCGTCTGAGACCGATCTCTGTCCCCTTACCTGGAGGAGCCCCAGCAGGAGTAGCAGGACACCCGTTCCGAAGTCTGGCTCCGTCTAGGAAACCCCAGATTCCTGGATTTTATTTCAGATCCACTCCCGCTTCTCTACAGGTGGTAGGAGGGTGTCCCGACTTCGGACAGAGAAGTCAGGGCCGGGGGAGCCCTGTGTGGCCAGATTCCAGGCCCAAGGAAACTAAAATTATCTTGGGCAGATGGGGGCGTGTCCAGGGGAGGCGCCTGGGAGGAGGAAGCCTGGGAGGAGGGTGGGGACTCCCTGACACTCTACACCAACTGGGATTGTTTTTGCCCTTCCTAGCCTGGCAGCAGGTGCCAAGAGAGGGTGCAGGTGCCTAGGGAGAGGCGGGGAAGACAGCCGAACAGACAGCACCAACAGCGAAGATCAAGAGTCCCGACCACCTGGGAGGGCGGGGGGAGGGTCTGAAGGCTGCAAGGTAAAGGGAACCACCCCTCCACTCCTCCCAAACATCCTCCCTGAAACTGGTCTGTTCATTGGCCAAGCCAAGGGGCACTTCTGCAGCTCTGGATCCCACCCCATGGGGCAAAGAGCACCCTGCCAAGGAGGGACGCCAGCCACGGGGGTGTCCAGCAACATGGCCTGCCCGTCGATCTACAGGCACCCATACCATGGTGGCTGTGCCCTGGCCCCTCAGAGGCACCCAGGGTAAGCCCCTCCCCCGCCCCCCACCTTCTGAGCAAAGTCCAGAGTCTTGGCTTCCCCTTTAAAATCGAGGGGCTTAGGCTGGGTGGCACAGTGGGAGAAGCCATGGTGACCCGGAGAAAGCTCTGGCCTGGGCCCCTGGAGATTCCTCTTAGAGGGATCACTTTATTTTTTTGAGACAGAGTCCTGCTCTGTCACCCAAGCTGGAGTGCAGTGGCGCCATCTTGGCTTACTGCAAACTCCGCCTCCTGGGTTCAAAAGATTCTCCTGCCTCGGACTCCCGAGTAGCTGGGATTACAGGCCACACACCCAGCTAATTTTTGTATTTTTAGTAAATCGGGGTTTCTCCACGTTGGCCAGGTTGGTCTCGAACTCCTGACCTCAGGTAATCTGCCCACCTCGGCCTCCCAAAGTGTTAGGATTACAGGTGTGTGCCACCGCACCCAGCCTGAGGGATCAATTTAGTTCTCTCAGGGATCACTTTAGCTCTCTAGTTCAGCACTGGGCAAACAGGGTACTTGGGAGAAGGGTTGGGAGGCAGAAATCAAAGGCTGTGGCCACCACCCAGCTTGATGCGGGTGACAGGAAAACAAACAATCCTTAGAGTGATAAGAGGTCCACCCTGGTGGGACATGGAGGAGTGACTCCTGCCTCAATTTTCTCCAGAATTTTCCTAGGAAAACCGGTATGAGTATGCCCAGCAAAGAAGTGGGGGAGGAGGCAAGGTCTCTTGGGTGATGGAGCAGCTTGTGCAAAGGCAGAGTAGACAATTCACTCATTAATTTATTCAACTCTCTGTTCAGTACCTACCATATGCCAGCCCCATGTTTGGTGCTGGGGATACTGGGGTAAGCAACAAAAACAGACCCCGCCCTATCCTCACACAGCCAATCAGGAAGATTGATGTTAATCAAAGAATCACACAAATAAGAAATGACAGGAGACAACTATGCTGGGAGAATGACTCACATAGGGAGTCAGGAAAGACTTCTCTGTGGAGGTGACAGCTGAGCAGAGGAGAAGCTGGCTGACATGGGAAGGGGGTTGGAATCAGTGGATGGGAACTGGGGAAGGAGGCCACCTTCCCAAGTGAGGAAACCACTGCCAGAGCTCTGGACAGGAGGGGATGCAGCATGCGGAGACAGAGAGTGGGGTTGGAGGAGAAAGGAGGAAGCAGAGGCCACATGTGTGAACCTGGACAGGTGTGGAAGGTGTGGAGAGAGGCGGCTATGCTTCTGCAAATGTGGCCTCCAGACCTCCCTAACCTTGTGTGGAAAACAGATCCTTGGGCTCCTCTCCAGCAATTGAATCTCAGTCTGTGGGGCTAAGACACAGGAAGGTGTGGTATTGACAAGCCCTCAGGTGGCTGTTCTGCAAGCCAGGTTTGAGAGCCATCCATCCTGTTTGTCCAGATGGGCAGGAGTAGCGGTCAAAGACCAGACCCTTCAAGTTGTATTTAGACTTAAGTAGAAGCACAGAGGAGAGGGCACATTTACATTTTAGAAAGATCATCCTGGATGGTGAAGGATGGGATGGAAACGAAGCCACGGTCAGAGGGCTGAGTGCTGTAGGAATCAACTTATATGGCTTTCTGGAGGGGGTGGAACTGTGTGAACAAAAAGCATGTCTGGGGTTGGGGAGGAGGGAGAGGGGTCCACAGTAGGGGGCACAGGGACTTGTGGGAGGTGATGGGACCATTCTGTATCTTGGTTGTGGGGTTGGATGCACAGCTGTGTGTGTTTCCTAGGACTCATAGAAAGGTACACTCAAGGCCGGGCGGGGTGGCTCACGCCTGTAATCCCAAGACTTTGGGAGGATGAAGTGGGCGGATCATGAGGTCAGGAGTTCAAGACCAGCCTGTCTGACATGGCAAAACCCTGTCTCTACTAAAAATACAAAAATTAGCCAGGCGTGGTGGCATGCACCTAAAATCCCAGCTATTCAGGAGGCTGAGGCGGGAGAATCTCTTGAACTCAGGAGACAGAGGTTGCAGTGTGCTGAGTGTGAGCCATTGCACTCCAGGCTGGGCGACAAGAGTGAGACTCTATCTCAAAAAAAGAGAGAAAAAAAGAAAGGTACACTCAAGAGGATGAATTTCACTGTGTACAAGTTGTATCTGAATTTTAAAACAACAACAACAAGGCCGGGCATGGTGGCTCACGCCTGTAATCCCAACACTTTGAGAGGCCAAGGCAGGTGGATCACGAGGTCAGGAGTTTGAGACTAGCCTGGCCAACATGGTGAAACCCTGTCTCTGCTAAAAATATAAAAATTAGCTGGGCGTGGTGGTGCGCACCTGTAATTCCAGCTACTCGGGAGGCTGAAGCAGGAGAATTGCTTGAACCCGGGAGTCAGAGGTTGCAAGGAGCCAAGATCGTGCCACTGCACTCCAGCTGGGGTGACAGAGCAAGACTCCATCTCGGGGGAAAAATAGTAATACTAATAAATAAGAATGAGTTTATAGGTCAATGGAACAGAATCCAGAGTCCAAGTAGAAACCCTTTTACATTTCTGGTCAATTGATTTTACAGGGTGCCAAGACAATTTGATGGAGGAAAGGATAGGCTTTTCAATAAATGGTACTGTCATCAATTGAATAGCCACATGCCAAAAGGTGAATTTAGATCTTTTGCTCACAGGATGCATTTAAAAAAAAAAAAGAAAAACAAAAAACCTCAATATAGATCATATACCTGAATGTGAAAGCTAAAACCATAAAACTTGTAGAAGAAACCATGGGAGATAGCCTTCATGGAGGCCGGGCGCAGTGGCTCACATCTGTAATCCCAGCACTTTGGGAGGCCGAGGTGGATGGATCACCTGAGGTCGGGAGTTCAAGACCAGCCTGGCCAACATGAAGAAACCCCATGTCTACTAAAAAAAAAAAAAAAAAAAAATTAGCCAGGCATGGTGGCGCATGCCTGTAATCCCAGCTACTCAGGAGGCTGAGGCAGGGGAATCGCTTAAACCAAGGAGGCAGAGACTGTGGTGAGCCAAGATGGTGCCATTGCACTCCAGCCTGGGCAAGAAGAGCGAAATTCCATCTTAAAAAAAAAAAAGAAGAAGAGGCCAGGCATGGTGGCTCATACCTGTAATCCCAGCACTCTGGGAGGCCGAGGCAGGTGAATCACTTGAGCCCAGGAGTTTGAGACCAGCCGAGACAACCTGGCAAGACCTCATCTCTACAAAAAATATAAAATTTATCCGGGCATAGTGGTGCGGGCCTATAGTCCTGGCTACTTGGTGGGGCTGAGGTGTGACAATCGCTTGAGCCTAAGAAGTTGAGGCTGCAGTGAGCTGTGATTGTGCTACTGTGCTCCAGTCTGGGTCACAGAGCAAGACACTGTCTCAAAAAAAGAAAGAAAAAATGAAGCCAGGTGAAGTGGCTCATGCCTGTGATCCCAGCACTTTGGGAGGCAGAGGCAGGCATATCACTTGAGGCCAGAGATCCAGACCAGCCTGGCCAATATAGCAAAAACAGCCTGACCATTGCTACTAAAAATACAGAAAATTATCTGGGCCATGGTGGCACATGCCTGTAATCCCAGCTACTTGGGAGGCTGAGGCACAAGAATTGCTTGAACCTGGGAAGCAGAGGTTGCAGTGAGCCGAGATTGTGCCACTGCACTCCAGCCTGGGTGACACAGTGAGACCCTGTCTCAAAAAAAGAAAGAAAGAAAAAAAAAGAAAAAAGAAAAAAAATTAGCCAAAGACTGGGAGAAAATAGTTGCAAACCATATACAACTATATATGGTTGTATATATGGTTGTATATATTTTGGTTGGTATCCAAAATATATAATGAATTTTTACAAATCAATAATAAAGAGACAAACAATCCTAATAAAAATGGGCAAAAGACTTGAATAGATGTTTCTTCAAATATGTATATGAATGACTAATAACTACATGAAAGATACACAACAGTCATTAGATAAATGAAAATTAAAACCACAATTATATATCATGTCATGTCCACTAGGATGGTTATAATCAAAGAGACAGAAAACAAGTATTGGTAAGGATATGGAGCGACGAATCCTCATATATTGCTGGTGGGAAAACTTTGAAAAACAGTCTGGCCGTTTCTTAAAAAGTTAAACGCTAGCCTGGGCAAAATGGCAAAACCTTGTCTCTACAAAAAATACAAAAAAATTAGCTGGGCATGCTGGTGCGTGTCTGTCGTCCCAGCTATTCAGGAGGCTGAGGCAAGAGAATAGCTTGAGTTCAGCAGGTCGAGGCTGCAGTGAGCAGTGTTTGCACTGCTGTATTCCAGCCTGGGCAACAGAGCGAGACCCTGTCTCAAAAAAAAAGTTAATCATAAACTTAACACATGACCCAGCAGTTCTACCCTTAGGAATCTACCCAAGAGAAATGAAAACACACACCTATGCAAAGACACCAAAACATCTGTGGCAGCATTCTTCAAAATAGACAAAAAACACTGGAACCCTAAATATCCATCAACTGGTGAATTAAGAAACAAAATGTGGCAAAACCACACGTGGAATACGACTCAGCAATGAAAAGGAATAAACTACTCTAGACGCTACAGCATGAATGCATCTCAAAAAACATATTGAGTGAAAGAAGCCGTAAGCAAAAGACCACATATCATATTATTCTGTTTATATGAAACATCCAGAAAAGGCAAAGTTAGAGACAGAAAGCAGATCAGTGGTTGCATAGGACTGGAATTGGGAGCTGAATTGACCAGAAACAGGTGGGAAGGACTTACCAGGTTGACGGAAATATTCTGTAACTGGATTGTGGTGATGGTTAGGCAACTGTACAAATGACTGCATTTTCTTTCTTTTCTTTCTTTTTTTTTTTTTTTAAACACAGTCTCACTCTGTCGTCCAGTCGTCCAGGCTGGAGTGCAGTGGTATCTCAGCTCACTGAAACCTCCACCTCCCAGGTTCAAGCGATTCTCCTGCCTCAACCTCTGGAGTAGCTGGGATTACAGGTGTGCGCCACCACACCCAGCTAATTTTTGTATTTTTAGTAGAGACAGGGTTTTGCCACGTTGGCCAGGCTGGTCTTGAACTCCTGACCTCAAGTGAGCCGCCCACCTTGACCTCCCAAAATACTGGGATTATAGGTGTGAGCCACCATGCCCTGTTTATAGATAGATAGATAGATAGATAGATAGATAGATAGATAGATAAAATAAGCCCAGGTGCAGTGGCTCAGACCTGTAATCCCAGCACTTTCGGAGGCCGAGGTGGACAGATTACAAGGTCAGGAGTTCGAGACCAGCCTGGTCAACATGGTGAAACCCCATCTCCACTAAAAATAGAAAAATTAGCCAGCGGGGTGGCTGGCGCCTGTAATCCCAGCTGCTCAGGAGGCTGAGACAGGAGACTCACTTAGGCCGGGAGGTAGAGGTTGCAGTGAGCTGAGATCGTGCCATTGCACTCCAACCTGGGCAACAGAGAAAGACTCCGACTCAAAAAAAAAAATAAATAATACAAAACTTAGCTGGGTGTGGTGGCTAGCACCTGTAATCTCAGCTACTAGGGAGGCTGAGGCAGGAGAATCGCTTGAACCCAGGAGGCGGAGGTTGCAGTGAGCCGAGATGGCACCATTGCACTCAAGTTTGGGTGACAGAGCAGGACTCCGTCTCAAAAAAAAAAAAAGAAAAAGAAAAATAGCCTAAAGGGACACTAGAGTGGGTGGCGTGTTAGGATACCATAGCGGTACTGCAGGCAGGGAAAAGGCAGCGAGGACTGGAGCAGCCTTCATTTCCAGAGTTGCAAAATGGGAATAATGACACCAGTCCCCCAGTGAGAGGCTGGATAAGAAGGGGATGTGCAGGAACTGTTGGGGGCACACAGCCTGAAGAGTGTCTACGGTTCTCCAGTGCAGGCAAGAGGCAGTTACAAAAGACTGGAAAAAGCAGTTTAGAGCTTTGGGATCAGAAACACTTGTGTATGTAACTATAGGGCGGTTCCAAATGGCATCAGCGCCGGGCGTGGTGCCTCACGCCTGTAATCCCAGCACTTTGGGAGGCCAAGGCGGGCGGATCATTTGAGGTCAGGAGTTCGAGACCAGCCTGGCCAACATGGTGAAATCCTGTCTCTCCTAAAACAAACAAACGAGCAAAAAACTGGGCCGGGCGCGGTGACTCATGTCTGTAATTCCAGCACTTTAGCAGGCCGAGGAGGGTGGATCACCTGAGGTCAAGAGTTCGAGACCAGCCTGACTAACATGATGAAACCCTGTCTCTACTAAGAACACATTAGCTGGGTGCGGTGGCACGCGCCTGTAGTCCCAACTACTTGGGAGGTTGAGGCAGAAGAATCGTTTGAACCCCGGAGGCGGAGGTTGCAGTGAGCCGAGATCGCGCCATTGCACTCCAGCCTGGGCAACAAAAGTGAAAAAAAAAACAAATGCCATCAGCATGTGAGCGAGAAAATGTCAACTATTTCATACATCAGCCACACCCACTCCCATCCCCAGGATGGATGGTTGCCCCACAGCTTTCTCTTTCTTTTGTAAACTGAAAAGCGCTCTGCAGTCTAAGATAGTCCATTAGAGTAAATGAAGCTGTGAAGTCCGGCGGACATCGGGAGTGGGGAAGCCCGGCATTACGGGAGACCGGGCCGGGGAAGGAGGGTCTGGACCGGTTTTCCCAGACTCTGCTCGGGGCGCGAGCTCCGGAGCTGCAGTACGAGGTCAAAACGTAGCAATGGCGGAGGCCTACAGGGGGCGCCCGGACGCCACGCTCGGCCCCGCCCCAACGCCACGCTCGGCCCCGGCACGCTCCAGAGGCCCCGCCCCGTCACGTGCCCGCTAAGCGCGTCACACCCGGAAGCAGGGGCCCAAGGGGAGCAGGCAGCTATGAGCGGGGAGCCGGGGCAGACGTCCGTAGCGCCCCCTCCCGAGGAGGTCGAGCCGGGGAGTGGGGTCCGCATCATGGTGGAGTACTGGTGAGCGGTCCCGGCTGAAGGACCCCTACCCTGGTCCCGTGGGCCGGACGGAGGTGGGTCCACGGGAGGCCCCACCCCCGAGTCCCCAGCCCAGCCCCATCTCTTCTCCCCAGTGAACCCTGCGGCTTCGAGGCGACCTACCTGGAGCTGGCCAGTGCTGTGAAGGAGCAGTATCCGGGCATCGAGATCGAGTCGCGCCTGGGGGGCACAGGTGAGGCTCACGGAACACCTGCTGAGTCAGTCTGTACTCTAAATCCCAGTTCTCCCGCTTTCTAGTTCTGACATTGGCTGCTTTATGTAAAGTGCCTGCAGTGCCTGGCACATGGTAAAATGTCCAGCCAACATGAGTTCCCTTCCATATGTCAGGGGGTTCACAGAGGCCTGCGGGGGAAAAACCTATTAGACTGCAAACGTGTAGGGTTGGAGGGGAGGGAGTCCTTCATTGAGTGTTGCCAGGGGCACACAGGCGAGGCCTCCCTCAGGTTCCCTGGAGTTGACCCAGGGTTGGGGAATGGCTTAAGGAGCTACAAATGGGTCTCCAGTGGGAGTGGTGGGGGACCCCTTTGAAGGAACTCCTGATTTCTGCCTATGTTCTCAGTGTACCATTTATTTATCTGTTGATTTCTTACCAGGCGCCTTTGAGATAGAGATAAATGGACAGCTGGTGTTCTCCAAGCTGGAGAATGGGGGCTTTCCCTATGAGAAAGATGTGAGTATTTGCAGTGTTGGGAGGACCTCTGGGTCATCCTACCCCAACAGTGCATCATCCTGTCATTCCACATCTCTGTCCTCTAGCTCATTGAGGCCATCCGAAGAGCCAGTAAAGGAGAACCCCTAGAAAAGATCACCAACAGCCGTCCTCCCTGCATCATCCTGTGACTGCACAGGATTCTGGGTTCCTGCTCTGTTCTGGGGTCCAAGCCTTGGTCTCTTTTGGTCCTGCTGGGAGCTCCCCCTGCCTCTTTCCCCTACTTAGCTCCTTAGCAAAGAGACCCTGGCCTCCACTTTGCCCTTTTGGGTACAAGGAAGGAATAAAAGATTCCATGGCCTTGGGGGCAGGAGAGAGACACTCTCCATGGACACTTCCCCAGCCACCTTATACCCCCTTCCCAGGATAAGTGCCCACAAAAGCCTGGTCCACTCTTCACCTCGGTAATACCTGTCTGATGCCACAGTAGATTTTATTTATTTTCCCCAACCCAGGGCAATGTCAGCTATTGGCAGTAAAGTGGCACTACAAACACTAATGCTAACTAGTGTGTGTGTTTATATGTCCAGTCTGGGAACGTGGGGGGCACAGAAGTCCGGCCAGCCCAGCCTTTGTACCGCCAGGGTGGCTGTGCTGGCTTGGGTGGGCTTTCTGGACAGCTACTCCTTAGGTCAGTGAGCTCCTCTGGCATAGCCAAGGCAAGGAAAGTGAGTCCCACAGTAGACCCTGCCTCGTCTTTCGCCCACCCAACCGCCATCTCCTGACTCACAAGGAGGAAATAACCCCATTCTGGTGAGTGGCCTTAGGAATTCGTTCTAAGAAAGAATGATCTGGTCGTTAAAGGGCTCTCAGATCCAGCTTCCTGATCCCCCCCCAACCCTGAAGCTAGAGAACTGGGTGTCAGGCTCCTCATCCAAGCTTTCTGAAGATTCCCGGCCACTCCCTCCAGGAAAAGAGGAGTTGAGTGTAAGGTGAGCAGGAAGGGATGGTGCAGAGCTACCCCCAGACATAGGCTGGTGCCTAACTGTTCTCCAAAATATATTTGCAAATGGAGAAAGTGGGTGTGGAGAAGGACCCCCCACATCTGCCTCCCCATACAACACCCATTCTCCCCCTGGGTCTTTATTTCATCTTTAAAAAACAAAACAAAGTAAAAACTAAACAGAAAAGCACTCTGTACAAGGCCTGGATACTGACACCATTGCTGCTCTGTCCTCATGGGGGGCAGTACTAGGTCTCAGGGACAATCTCTGAATGGGTTGCTCTTGTTCTTAGACACTCCCTTAGGGCCACTTCCCCTCTCAGGCCAGCTTCCCTAAGGCTTTCAGTATGCAGGATCTGGAAGGAAAGGGCCAGGCTGGGCTGTGGCATCCACTGGACCCTAGAGTCTCATTGGGCAGGGCCCCAGAATCCACCAAGACTCCCCAGTGCTGTTCCTCTTCCAACTAGGCTGGACCCCTTCCAGCCATCTGGGAACTCAAGCAGGAAGTTTCCTTAGGACAGGTTCCTGGCATGGCAGATTCCTCTGGAAGTGGTCGGAGGGCCCGCCCGCCTCTTGATGCCAGTGGAAGTCAGGACTTCCCTGCTCCCTGAGGACACATTGGGGCTTCTGCGGACTTGGCCTTCTGGTTCACACTGGCACGTCCAGACCCAGGTACTCTGGGTTCTCTGCCGTAGGTGTCCCTTTGAAGGTGCTGGGTGGAGCCCCCCGCTCTGATGGGTCCTGGTCCCAGTAATAGAGGTTGTCGAAGGCTGGGCTGAAGGCAGGAGGAAGGTGGGGCTGAGGGGCAGCTCCTCCCCGGGGTGCCAAGTACTCGGGGTTCTCCACAGCACCCCCAAAGGCAAAAACGTCTTTGACAACCCCATTCTTCCCTGGGGAGAGAGTCTTGGGCCTTTCCAGAGTGGCACCAGTAGGTCGGGCAGGAGACAGAGGGCCCTCTTGGGGCGAAGGGGGCTGTGGCCGAACATCTGGCTGGTTCACATATTCTGAAAGGCCAAGAGAAGATGACCTGTTAGGGGAAGGAACCCTGGTGTCGCTGCCACTCCCTCTGCCCCCACAGTGGACCCTGGGCTGAGGGTCCCCCCCTCCCCCGCCCATCAGTCTCTCCACTTAGACTGGACTCCATACCGGGCTGGGGGCTGCAGGTCAGGGGGGCAACGTAGCCGTCAGTCTCAGAGGGCAGGGGTACCGTGGGGTCCTCACTGTACCGCTGTAGAGGGCTGGGGTCATGTGCGGGGAGGCTTTGCAGCCCCTTGGCTGCCCCCATTCCCAGGTCACCATCAAATACATCAGAGCCAGTCCCTTCGGAGGGTGCCCGTGGAGACCTGGGGGCCTCCTCTTCAGAGGGCTCCAGCCCTAGCGTCAGGTCCCCACCGCCACTCTGGGGACAAGAAAGTAAGTCATGATGGGAGTCCCTTATGGATCTGGGATGGGGACTCCATGGGAGGTGACAGGGTCACAGGAGAAAAACAGAGGTCACCTTTGGGGTACGACACAGTCACCATGGAGAGAATGGGGTCACAGAGGTTGGAAGGCAGTAAGAATTTTTTGTAGGGATAATGGGGTCTCCTTGAGAGGTGACAGTTGAGGGAACATCAGAGAAAGGGACCCTAGTCCACTGGGGATGGGGGAGGTAAGCAGCCACACAGTGTGACCAAAGGCACTGACCCTGGTAGATGAGCTGCGGTGCCTGTGGTGGACCATGCCCCCAGTGCCCGGGGCAGGGTCTGGACAGAAGAAGCCCTGCTGGGGTACCAGATACTCCTCAGCATCCACCAGGTCCCCCATGTCATCGTCCTCCAGCAGTGAGCGGTAGAAGGTGCTGTCCAAGGGACTGGCTGGGCCCAAGTCCTCATTCTGCGGAGGAAGGAGAGGTGGGATGGTGGCCCCTCCCCAGCCCAGCATGCAGCCTTCCGTGAAGAAGGCTCATGGCAGGTGAGGGGCCTGGCACACCGGACTCATCTCTCCTTCCCACCCTCTGCAGGAGGGTGCTCTTAGCCACAGGCAGGGATGGGGCACAGAGGCCCAGTACCTGGATGACCACAAAGCGCTGGGGGTCCCTGGCCATGCGGGAGAATTCCGACACCAACTCCCGGAATCTCGGCCGACATTCAGAGTCAATCATCCAACCTGGGGCAGGAGGGAGGCCAGCGTCTAGCCCTGGCCCTGTGTGCCTGCTGCCTCCCCTCCCACTCCTGCTGCAGTCTGGTCTAGACAGTCCCAAAGGACAGCCCAAAGCCCTTGGTGGTAGAGAAGTAGTACCAGACTCAGGGGGCTTCAGCCAGAACCTTCGGGCATCTCTACTAGTTTCCCTTTTAATTTTTTTTTCTTTTTGTTTGCTTTTTTATTTTTTTGACATGAGGTTTCACTCTGTTGCCCAGGCTGGATTTCAGTGGCTCAATCATAGCTTACTGCCACCTTCAGCTGGGCTCAAGTGATCTTCCTGTCTCAGCCTCTCCCGAGTAGCTGGGACTACAGGCACACACCACCACACCCAGCGAATTTTTTTATTTTTTGTAGAGATAGGGTCTCACTGTGTTGCCCAGTCTGGTCTTGAACTCCTGGCTTCAAGAGATCTTCCCACCTCAGCCTCCCAAAGTACTGGGATTACAGGCATGAGCCACTGTGCCCAGCTTAATATTGTACATAAGGTTCTCTAGTTGTTCCTCAAGAGTGGCTTTGGACTTTGACTGTAAAAGGGATATGAGAAGGTTTTGAGGCTCCTAATATACCAGGGCTCCTGGGTCTATATACATCCTGGTCCCCTTTCATGCCCTTTGTGGGCTTCTCGACCCAGGACCTCCCACCCTCCTCCAGGCAGCCCGCACAGCTCAGCCACACACATTTGACCATGATCATGTAGACATCAATGGTGCAGATGGGGGGCTGGGGCAGCCGCTCCCCCTTTTCCAGCAGGTCAGGGATCTCCCGGGCTGGGATCCCATCGTAAGGTTTGGCTCCAAAAGTCATCAGCTCCCACACAGTCACACCTAAGGCAGAGACAGGGTCAGGAGTGGGAGGGCCAGAGGTTCTGCCCAGGAGTCTGGCATCATGGCAGCAGGGGGGAGATGTGATGCCAGGAGACAGAATCTACCCAGTCTTTCCCTAATCCTGGGAAGTGCACAGACCCTGCAAGGTGGGGCACAGGCAGCCCCTTCCCTCCCTCCACATGCTGAGGTGGCCCCATAATTCTCCCCATCCCAGCTCTCATCCTCCCTCCAGCCATGACTCCTCAGCCACCCCTCCCAACACTCCCCACCACACACCATAACTCCACACATCACTCTGGTGGGTGAACCGCCGTCGGAGAATGGACTCCAGCGCCATCCACTTGATGGGCACCTGGGAGGGCAGAAGAGGAAGTCCTCCAACTGTGTGTGGTGGGGAGGTGGCCACTCAGAGTTCTCCCAGGGGCCAGACCCCACTCCACCCGACTTCCTCTGCTCCTTCACCTAACCTTGCCCCCATCTGCATGGTACTCTGTCTCGTCAATGTCCAGCAGCCGAGCCAGCCCAAAGTCTGTAATTTTGACATGGTTGGGACTCTTGACCAGCACGTTCCGAGCAGCCAAGTCCCTGTGTACGAGCCGCACATCCTCCAGGTAGCTCATCCCCTGGAATGGGAAGCACCCAGGTAGACCTTCTGGGAGGGCCTGGCCCTGGTCATATGCCCAGGAAGAGTCCCCATCCTAGCCCCTTGTGGACATAGGGGCTTGTTCCAAAGGGACCCGCAAAGAGCCCAGGTGCCCTAAGTGCATACCTTGGCAATCTGCATACACCAGTTCAGCAGGTCCTGGGAGCCCAGGCGTCCGCGGTTTTCCCGGACATGGTCTAAGAGGCAGCCATAGGGCATAAGCTGTGTCACCAGCTGCACCGTGGATGTCAGGCAGATGCCCAGGAGGCGGGAGACATATGGGGAGCCCACACCAGCCATCACGTATGCTTCCTGGGGACAAGGGTACACTGAGACCTTGTGGAGACCTCACACCCCCAAACACCACACAGCCTCCCAACCATCACACAGCCTCCCAACCACCACACACCCCCAAACACCACACACCCCCAAACACCACACACTCCCAAACACCACACACCCTCCCGACCACCACACACCCTCCCGACCACCACACAGCCTCCCGACCATCACAAACCACAGCCTCGGCCCACGGCCTGTGAATGCCCAAAGTACCAGCCTGGCCAACATGGTGAAACCCCGTCTCTACTAAAAATACAAAAATTAGGCCGGGCACGGTGGCTCACGCCTGTAATCCCAGCACTTTGGGAGGCCGAGGCAGGCGGATCATGAGGTCAGGAGTTTGAGACCAGCCTGGCCAACATGGTGAAACCCCGTCTCTACTAAAAATACAAAAATTAGCTGGGCGTGATGGCTCACACCTATAATCCCAGTTACTCAGGAGACTGAAGGAGGAGAATCGCTTTAACCTGGGAGGCCGAGCCAAGACCACGCCATTTCACTCCAGCCTGGGTGACAGAGCGAGACTCTGTCTCAAAAAAAAAAAAAAAAAAAAAAAAAAAAGAC